CTTTAAAATTCAAAGCAGAACTGTTGGCAAGTGATGGCCATTGAAGCAGAAAAGAGGAATGAGCAGAAGCCTTGCAGGGGAAGCTGGGGGAGCAGGATGAGGCTAATCATTTCTTGAAGATAGTTAATGAGGCACAGGAGAGGGTGAGTGTGAGAGGTGGGTTTCGGGAGGCACGGCACAGTTCTGTGGCATGTGATGGCAGATGTCAAGGAAAAAAACATGCTATGGATGAGAGCAGGGGTGGACCAGAAGGGGTTGAGGAACAGGGTCCATCTCTATTCACACCATTCATCTTTACCATTATGCTGTGTGGCAGTGTTTCCAAGGTGAGCTTTGGTTTGGTGAGGGGCACTATAAGTCTGCCATTTTAAATGTAAAACAGGTTGAAATGCCCTGGGAATGGGAGTGTATTGCTCCATCAGAAGGACCTCTAAGGATGCAGGGGTGGCTGTGTGCAGAGGACACCAGGGGTGACACCCCATCACTCACCAGGAGCACAAGGGTCAAAGCAACCCAAGAAAAGAAACCTTCAGAGTGAGGAATTCAGAGGCCTGTGAGAAACGCTGGAGTGTCTGAAGTTTGGTACTTTGTGAGAGATTTTGGTGATTCCTGTGATGAGCGCACGGCTCTGGCCGTCTGCTCCCTGTCCCTGCAAATGAGTGTGCGATAATTTATTCCTGAGCTATTAATGGCATATTGGGAACATGGAGATGAGATGTGAGGGTGGTCACACACTGGAACAGGTTGCCCAGGGAGGTTGTGGATGCCCTTTCCTGGAAGTGTTCAAGGCCGGGTTGGATGAGGCTTTGAGCAACCTGGTCTAGTGGAAGGTGTCCCTGCTGATGGCAGGGGGGTTGGAACTGGATGATCTTTAAGGTCCCTTCCAACCCAAACCATTCTATGATTCTATGTGCTGCTTCTTCCACCCTGAAGAAAGTATGGCAAGCAGCTTGCCCAGGCTGGGATTTTCCAAGGGTGATTCCTAAGGTGTCTGCAGCCAGAATCCCCCTTTTGTAACTTTCTGATTCTGAAATTATTTCAAATTTGAATGGGGAATAACCTTAAAATAGAAAAATGAATCTTCACATGAAATGAGTTTGACTTCAGCGTTTACAGGAAGAAATAATAGTTGTTTCTCCAGCTGGGTGCTCTCTCTGGGGTTTTTAGGGCAGGCTAGCTGAACTTCTGTCTTGTTTTGGCCCCCGAGATGCTGTGAGCTGGCGGAGCAGCCCACGTTGCAGGTGGTTCAGCCTGGCAGCATGCGTGCTAACACTTGCTGTGCTAAGATTGCTCCCCAGTCCTGTGGCCAGGTTTCAAAGTCTGCAACTTTAAATGACTTCAGCCTCATGAGTTTCAACACACTGCAACTATAACCAATGCAGTTATGGATTTTTATTTTTTTTTTTATTTTTTTTTGGAACAATCTGAAAAAAAAATAACCCTCAAAATTTCATTGGTTTCCCAAAAATGTTGTGGGTGTTGTTTTTGTTTTGTGGTTTTTTTTTGTTTTTTTTTTTTCCATTTGTTGGCAATTGAATGACCTATGAAATACCATAAGCAGCACAAAGCGTTTATCCAGTGACAGCCTGAGGTAGCACAGGCAGCTCTTAGCGGGTTTATTTTCATTATTACAGCAATTTTAGGGCTGCATGCTGCAATTTTCACTTGCAGTGAGGTATTAAATTGAAATTACCCCAGATGTAATTGTCACACAAAATAATTCTGGACATGCTGGATTTAATGCTTTTCCAAGCTGTGGTTTTTATTACCCAAGCAAGTGCCAAAAAACCACTTGTAGTCAAGAACTTACACAGAAATCTGTCTTCTGGGGAGCCAGGATGTTCAGCTGCAGTTACACTGAGGGGGGGGAAGGAAAGAAAAATAAGGGGCCAACTGGAGGAAAGTTTGGGAGGGCTCTTGAAGGAAATGCCCAGAGTAAAATCCTGGGCAAGGGCAGAGTCAGGGCCACGCAGGGACCCCAGAGGAGCCCTGGCAGATGCAGCAGCTCAGCCTGACTCTTTGTGGAATGGTTTTTGGGGAGGTGAGCCCTGCCTGTGGTACAGTGCTGGTCACAGAGGCAAAGCAAGGCTGGGGCTGCTGCCAGGTCCCTGCCCGCTCTTGCGGCAGTGCAGTGGTTGGTCCCATCCTTGGGATGCAACAAGCCTCACTAGAGAAAAGTCAGGGGTGAGTTGTAGAACCAGTGACCAAGCTCTGGAGGTGCTTGTATGTGACACTTCAGTGTTTCCCACATGCATGTTGTCTCATTAGGCTCATCTGGGGCACAGACAGGCATTGGAAGTGGTTGCCCAGGGCAGTGGTGGAGTCCTCATCCCTGGAGGGATTTAAGAGTCGTGTAGATACAGTGCTTAGGGACATGGTTTAATTGGGGACTTGTCAGTGTTGGGTTAATGATTGGACTCGATGATCTTAAAGCTCTTTTCCAATCGAGGCAATTCTGTGGTTCTGTAACACCTGGAGTTTTAAAAGCAAGTTGTCATCATGCACGAGGAGCCTTCATGGCACCGCGGGCAGGCTGAGCCAGCGTGCAATATCTCTGTCCCTCCCACTGGTGGGTGATACAGCGTGCATCCACTGCACCTTTATTTACTAGCTCCTTAACCATTGTAATAACACAGGTAAAGTATGGATGACTTTGTATTTTCTACGCTCTTTCATTCTTTTCCAGAAATGGCTTCCCTTGTTTGCTCCACACAAGCCGTCCTGATGCCGTGCTGGAAGTGGGTGGAAGGACACACATCTGGGGACAGTTAGGAGATAATGGTGTATAAATAGCACAGGGAGAGCAGCTTCCCTTGTTTGCTCCACACAAGCCCTCCTGATGCCGTGCTGGAAGTGGGTGGAAAGACACACATCTGGGGACAGTTAGTAGATAATGGTGTATAAATAGCACAGGGAGAGCAATCATCATAGTCTGTCCCTGCAGCTCTGCAGAGCAAGTGAGAGCTGAGCCTGAGTGTGACAAACCAGGCGCCGAGCAGCAGCTTCTTTCTCATCGTATCAGGTTGGGAAATCTCAGTTGAAGTTGGTTGCTGGATGATGCAAGGGGTCACAGTGACCCAGACAAGCAGCTCAGGGCATGACCTAGTGCTGTTTAGTAATTCAGAAACCCTCTGTTTTTAGCACTCCTGAGATGATCCCTAACTTTGATGAATGAGGGTGTTGCTGCACGGGGCAATTTTACTGAATTTTCTCCTGCATGCAGAGTACCTGTGCAACTTTAGTGTCCTTTGAAGATGGACCTAGAATGAGAATTGGTTCAATGATGATTTTCTGGGGTTGGTGACTATGCTGAAAGAACAGGGTAGTAATGAGAAATCTGCTTTGGTCAAGTTGAGGCAGGATTTTGGAAAAAGTTTTAAGTGAAACAATGAGAGAAAACATCGACCAATTTAGCGTGAGCTTGCAAATACTTTGTCCCACCCAAGGTTTCTTTCTTATTTTATAATTCCTTCACTTCTTGCACACTCTTTTTTTCCTTTCATTTAGGTTACTTTTTGAAACTTCATTTCTGATTATTTACAATGAAAAGCTGAAAAACCTCATTTTAAAAAAAACCAAAACACCAAACCCTCAAGTATTTTGACATTTCTGGGGTGCAGCATGCCATGCTGATAGCATAAGCCAGCAATATCTGGCTACTGTTACTTGCTTTCTCTTCCCTATCCCCAACTTAATTTTTCCATCTGTTTTCACTTTGCCTTGCAAATACCATGGTCCAGATCTTTGGGGGAGCAAACTAATGGTTTGTTGGAAGAATGGTTGCTCAGTTCTCTTTCCTACTTCATTTGAGGATGGCAGTGGTAGCACCTGGGCAGTGACACAAGAGCAGGCGAGCAGCGCATGGATGGGAAGGAGCTTGATGGCTGTGATGAGGAGCTCCCCAGGCTGGGCATGAGGTGCCCTCCTGCCACTGGTGTGTCATCTTAAGGCCATCATAGGGGGGTATGGCTTTAAGGGGGATCTGGAAAGAGCAGCACAGATGTAAGAGTTGTATCCAGATTTCCTGAGCTAGGAATATGTTGGCATTTGTCTATAAAAGCCACAAATTTCATCAGCTAAAGGTCAAAGTAATTACAGAGTCTACGATGTTTCCTCCTGGGAAGGAGGCAGCAGGGGTTGTGGTTGCAGTTGCGGGTTTTCACCTTCTGCAAGCTGGCTTGAAAACGGTTGAGTCCCAATCTTCCCTGTAGTCAGGTTATGCCATTAAGGCAGAATGAATAAGGAAACAATCAATTTAGAAACAGGACTTGGCTTACCTTGCAGGCGGCTGGTGGAAATTGCTGCCTCGGGAGGCTGGAGTGAGGCAGCTCAGAGCTGGGGCTTCAGCGATGCTCTTACCACTGCCGGTGCCACCAGCCAGGTGGGTGTGAGAGTGCTTGGGCCCCTGCCTCAATTTAAGAAAGGGCAAAACCTCATCATGATAACTCAGTACTTCTGGAATGACACCAAAAGCCCCATGAAGCTCACAAAGCCACCAAGGCAGTGTAAGACTTGCAGCTGGCCTTCTGCAGGCACATCACCTGTGTCTTACCTTTGGCATGAAGGACCCGTTTCTGATCCCATCATGCTAGTGTCAGTGAGGAGTGTCTTTGCTGAAGGTGGCATTGCCCTAACTAATATAAAAAGGGAAGGCTTTTATCTTCCCACTATCTCTTGATGGGGGAGGCTGGTGACACCAGGAGGGTGTGCTAGCTGGGAAGCAGTGGTTAGAGAAAAGGACTGCAAGCTGGGTGCCTCCTTTCTCATCTCTTCCTTTTAATGACAGTTAAGGTCTTTTTGCTGCTTTAATCTTCAGTGACTTACTTGACAGTTTCTGGTCTCCTTCAGAAAGGATTCATACAGAAAAACATTTATTTTTTCTTCCCCAGTAGTGGCTGGAAGACCATCTACTGATGGACTCTGCTGCCTGCACTAATGAACTGAACTCCCACTTTGAATTCCAGTACCTGAATGGCATTTTCCTCTTTCTTCCTCCCCAGGTGTACAACTTTGCACTATGGCCAGGACCTCCCACCAACGAGCGTCATCATCACTTTCCACAACGAGGCCAGGTCAACCCTGCTAAGGACAATTCGGAGGTACGAGCCTGCTGGAAATACTCTTTATCTATAAACGCTTTTAAAAAAGGGTGAGTGGGCTAGAGGTTTTTGTGAGTAAAGGCAGAATCTGTTTGTACTCACTGCAGCAAGGGGACCGGACCTACCAGCTGTGTATGTTCTCAAATGATTACCAGGAGAAATTATTGTGAAAGCTGATCTCTGAGAAATAGGTTTTACAGTGGGATGCTGAGGAAAGTAAGTAGCTGTGCTCCCTTTGCAGGGTCTAGCATAGGGCACTCTTGGGGGAGCAGCAGAAGATTAGACAGCATCTGGGATAAAAACATTTTATATCCAGCTGGGTATCAGTGCTCAGCTGTATTTTGTCCCAGTTGTCTAGGGACAGCTATTATTCTGCAGATGTCTGCTCTGGTGCTGCTGTTTGAGCTTCTCCAGTGACCCATCGAGTGCCAGAAAGGGTTGCTAATTGAGAAGCCCTAATGGTGCACATGCAGACTAGATTTTCAAGGACGGTTTCTGTATTCCTCTGGATACACGGTGGAGCACTCTGGGCACGTGGCCATGCCTTCATTTGTTGGTTTGTTCTTGGCTGTGTTTTGCTGTAGTGGATAGACTAAAGGCTTCATTTTCACGGCAGGTTTTTGAAATCAGCATTTAATCCCAATGTGTGCCTTGAATCTGCAAGTTCTCTTGTGGGAAGGCTTTGTGACCTTAGAGGGGTCTATCTCCAGGTCTTGGCTGGTGGGTTCCTCTGTAGTGAGCTTGGGTATGCTCTGCTCTGTGCCAGTAATAAGTGCTTTGCAGCCATGTCATGCCCACATTAGTGAAGGCTTTGTGCCCAGCTGCAAGCCTTGTCAGTTAAACCCTGGCATCTCCAGGGACCCCTTGTCATCATTGGTACTGGTCAGACTGGTTGCTGTCTTCAGCTGTGCCCTGTTTGCTGTCACGTCCTTGCTGGGCTCTTCTATGAGAACAGCATCCTTCCTCAGGTGAACGCGTCCAGTGCCACAAGTGAGTTTGACAGTCCTGAAATTGAATTCCTGCTTTGCTTTATGGTTTCATGCCCAATCCCATCTCCGTCGCTTCACACTTAATAATCTATCACTGCTTTCTGTCTCTGGGGTGTGTGGGTTTTGGGCATGCATAGCACTGACGCTTGGTGCTGTGTACCAGCTCCTTGATCCTGGACCTTCTCTTTTATTTTTACAGTACCTTGTGTTTGAAGGTTTATTGTCCTTCAAACCCCATTCTGACAGAGATGGCAAGACAAAGCCAAGCAGTCCTCTACCCCTTGATGTGCAGGACACTTATAATGTGTAAAGTGCAGGGATGGACTTTAATCAGATTTCTCCCCATAACTCAGCATCTGACTGTCCTGGCAGGTATGATCATGAGTGATGTTGCCACATGAGAGATGTTAGAGCCATGGTATGACTCTTATGCCTGGATCCCCCATATCTGACTTCATCATAGAACTGTCTACTGCAATGATGGCATGGTTCGAAATACAAGTAGTTTGGATTTTTCTTTCTTCCTATAGGATATTGTCCTCTGAAGTTTCTGATTTCTAGCTATAAAAATACTTCTTCCTTCTTCCTCTTACTCTCTTTGTTTGACTTGATTAGTTGACTTTGCTGCCTTTCTTATCCAGTTGTGTGTGATTTCCACCAGAGCTTCCCCCCTGCACACCACTCACGGTGATGCCAGAGCTCGTGTTTTGTCTGTGGGGAGATTTTCCCCAGTGCTGGGGCCTCTTCACAGCTCTCTTTTCCCAGAGGATGATCTCCAAACAGTGCCAGAGCCCCACGGAGCATCCCACTGAGCCACACCTCAGAGGCAAGCCTGGGCAGTGTAGAACTGAGACAGCATCCTCAGTCCCCATCTCTCCTGCCTCTCCCTGGGCTGAGATCTTGAGTTCTCCTGAGATGACCCTCCTTTTTCTGCTCCCTATGGTTTAGAGGTGGCTTTCTGGCATCAGGGTTCACTGTTTTCCTCCTGGATGCAGCACTTAGACTTAGAAGCTTGCTTTGATCCAACCGGCCCTAGGAGTACTAACCCTTGATGGCAAGTGGGGCTGGTGATGTGGCTCCTGCCCTGTTCCTCTCCAGCCATGATCGTGCATGTATTGCCATCTTCCTGCCTGTTTTTGGACCCAGCTGAGAGCTCATCTGCCTCTTCAGCCTCTGTAGGTTAATTTCTGTGCCTTGTGACTGCTCTCGTTTTGTTCCCCCTTGCTTGGCAAATGCTTAGTTTAATTAGATCTTCCAGATCACCCTATCCCACAGTGGCTGTAACAACATGGATCATTTTCCATGGCCAGTCACCACAAACTTTGTTCTCCTTACACTGCTTTGTGCCTTTTGGAGCAGTCTGTGGCCAAGTGCCTCCAAGCACTTTGAGCACAGTGGTGAGTAAAGTGGGCACCTCTTCTACCCTGTTCTCACCAGTACATCTCCATGGTGCGCTCAACCTGTCATCTCAGCCCAAGTGACAGATGGGAAGACTGAGGAACAAAGAGGTGATTTGTCTGTGGTTGGTGGAAAAGTTTGGGTTGCAAACCTGGTTTCCTGAGTTCCAGCAAGTTGGGTTTTCCAGCCACATTGCAAAATGAGTTTTCTGTTAACTGCCATGGCAGGAGGAAGAAACAGGGCAAAGGGATATTTCTTGGCTTGTCCAAAGTCATGGGGCAATCAGGCAATGTGCCCCCAAAGGAAGCACTTCTTACAGGACCCCAGGAAAACACAGAGAGGTGGCAGAGGGAAGTGCTGGTGAAGGCACCACTGTCCTGGTTTTGCTAGGATAGAGCTAATTTCCTTCTTAGTCACTAGAATAGCGCTGTGCTTTGGTGGTTTCAGTATGGGATTTTTGATGAGAAGAACATTGAGAAATTAGCAAACCCAAATTGGCATTTGATTATGCCAATAGGATATTCCGTATCATATAATGTCATGTTCAGTATAGTAATCAGGGTTTGCTGGATTTTTTTGTGTCTGTCTCTCTCAGTTTTGGGATTGTGGTTTTGGTTTCGGGAATGTCGTTGCTCCGGGATTGCTATCTGGCGCTGGACTGGGCATTGGTCAGCGGGTGGTGAGCGAGTGCAGTGTGCATCACTCATTTGTATATTCCATTTTTACTGTTACTTAATTTCAATTTTATTTCAACTATTCAATTGTTTTTATCTCAACCCATGAGTTCTCTCACTTTTACCCTTCTGATTCTCTTCCCCGTTTCCCGAGCTGGGGAGGGTGGGAGTGGGGCTGTTTGGTGTTTGTTGCCAACCAGGCTAAAACCACCACAACCACGTACATGATGAGCAGGAGGGATTTTGCTATTCCTACACTTTTCCTTGGTACTTGAGAGCTTTGATGCTCTCCGAGTGCTGAGGCTGAGCTGTTTTGCAGGATCAGTGTGTTGCGTTCAGCTCTTGGTGAGGATGCGAGTGCTCTGACCTGTGAAGCAGAGGCACCAACACGTGGCCTCTGCAGCACCCCTTACGTGAGTCACTTTGTGAGCGTTTGTGACAGTTCATTTATGAACAATTTGCATTGTCAGAGCTATTGAGAAAAGTTAGTGGACTGTGTTGAATAATAAATTAATTTAAAAGTTTCATGATCTTTTCTTTGACCATTTGCCAGCTGGAAGAAAAGGAGGAGAAAAAAAAAAAAAGAAAAGCTAAATTAATTAAATGCCCAAATCTCTGCAAATGATGTAGTCAGCGTTTATAAACGTGTATGTAACTATGCTCGTGATTGTGTACAAGTGTCCAGGTGGTAGGGGATAGGTGTCATGAGAAAGGGAAATAGAAAAGGAGAGAAGAGGCCAGAAAAGAGGAGATGGTGAATAGCAAAGTAGCTCTTGAGATTTTTTTTTTTCTTTACTGTGCAGACAGGGGAGGAACTACCCTTGGGTTGTTATTTCAGCCACTCACTTTCTGAATTACTTTGGACAAGTTTCTTATCCCCCTGCCATTCGGTTTCACGTATTTCAAGCTCCAAGGCTCGGTGTATTAAGGATGGTGCGAGTCTCCAACAGTATGGGGATGGGACTGTGTGAGTGAACCCAAAGAGGGGAGGCAGGAGCAAGGGAGAGAATAAGCAGTACAGAGGCATTTTTAAAAAAAATATACAATTTCTTCTTTCCTCTCTTTCTGTCCTGTGCTAGCCTGGATTTAGGAAGGTAATTGAAGCTGGTGAAGGGTCTAGAGCACAAGTCTTATGAGGAGCAGCTGAGAGAACTGGGGTTGTGAAGGCTGGAGAAAAGGAGGCTGAGGGGAGACCTTATTGCTCTCTACAACTACCTGAAAGGAGGGCATAGAGAAATGGGGGTTAGTCTCTTCTCCCAAGTAACAAGTGATAGGACAAGAGGAAATGGCCTCAGGTTGCACCAGGGGAGGTTTAGATTGGGTATCAAGAAGAATTTTTTTACTGAAAGTGTTCTTGGGCATTGGAAGGGGTTGCCCAGGGCAGTGGTGGAGTCCCCATCCCTGGAGGTATTTAAGAGTCGTGTAGACATAGTGCTAAGGGACATGGTTTGGTTGGGGACTTGTCAGTGTGAGGTTAATGATTGGACTTGATGATCTTAAAGGTCTTTTCCTATCTAGGCAATTCTGTGATTCTGTGATCCAGCTCATTGCCCAGCTCTAGCTGTCCAGCTCCTCCAGATGGAGAGCTGAAGGATGTCCCCATGGCCATAGCTGCCAGTGGAGGAGATGGAGCTGCATGTCTGGGAAGGATGTGCTCCTTGTCACCTGGGGCTGGGCTGGGTGCTGGGGCTCTCAACAGCGATGGGTAATAGTGCCTCCCCATCGTGCAGTCCTGTGTGGTTAGGGGGATCCACTCCATGGCTTGCTTATGAGAATATCATCCCTTTTCCTTTGCTGTCCCTCCTCTGCAGGCATCAGCACACTCACATGCCGAGATGCAGCCACTGCTAGGGGACCAGTTGTGCTTTCAGGGCTGGATGTGGTGTGGTGTCCCCTGCCAAGGTCCACTGGGAGCGAGGCTTGGTGTGTGCCCTGTCCC